GTTCCCTTGTCAGAAAGACTACGCTCATTCGGCGTCTTCCATAAATTAATTTAATTAACGTTTAGTTTGGTATATCTTTACAATAATAACATTGCTCTGCAGCATCAAAATAACTGCCAAAACCGGCTTCCAATCAACATTGCGTATCCGTGTTGAGTTTTTTCACAACATCCCATCATGGCGTCTCTTCAGCGTGGCTACATAACTCCAATACATCGTATCGGTTGTCCAGTTTCCCTCCACTGTCCCAATTTACCACAATACTTCCACTACCGTATATTTAGTACGACATATCTATGCACTCATTCTTTTTCTATTCTACCTACCTACATATTTTTTCGTCTTATTTCTCATAAACTATTCTTATTTTAGACATTATAATATCACTCTTCTAATAAGTCGGATCCTTTCACATTAAACACTCCTTATTGCCTTTCTCATTCAAGTCATTAAGCACAGGAAGAGCTGGAGCATGGGCGGGCGGCTTGACCATAATGCCATTCTATCTCATTTCAGCTTTCTGTGCCTAAACTGGTTGATACGCGCCTATCAGACGTACCTATATGCATTTTCCCAGCGATAGTAAAAGGCCTTACTGCGACACTTCCCATTTATCTAAAACGGAATGCTTAAGGCCCATTAGAATATCAACACTTTCTAATTCTTTAGATGAATCTTTTGAAAAGCAAAGACTTATTTTATCTTGTTAAGGTTACTTCTTGAAAAAACTTTGTTATAACTTTCACACGCAGAATTCATTTGGATTTACGTTTTTTCCTACAAAACAGTATATCTCTATTGTTCATACCTACAGATTCAAAATTATAAACCAGAAGCCTACAACATCAACCGAACGTTTTCTATCTATCTGACCTTAGATGGTACTCAAATAAGACTTCAGCGTCCAAAGCGTAGTGTATTCCGAAGATCAATGTGGAGCGAAGAGATGCCTTCTGCAGGATCAATTCAATTTGTCCATCAACGTATCTATGATCTTAAACATGCCCGCGTATTTTTGATGCCCCATGGTCTTGTTTCCAAAAGAATGTGGAGCAAAAAGTACCCCATATGTATCATGATGCACTCCCAAAGCCAGGTAAATATATCATTTTTTTCTTTAACATATTTCACATTGGAATTTATATAATTTGGGCTAGCTTCTAAAGATCCTTTACCTAT